ATAGTCAGTTTGCGCCGGTGGACAAGAAGAAGCGACTGAAAGAGGAACTGCGGAAGCGAACTCAACACCCCGAGGAAAACCTGAAGCAGTTCATATATGTCATCAGCAGTTACTACGACAGGATCGGCGATCCTGTGACGGATGCGCAGGAGGTGGAGAGGGTACTCCGACAGATGCACCCGCAGTTCCGGGATCTCGTTGAAGGAAGGACCTTCGCCACGCTCAAGGAACTCGCCGACGCTGCCGATGGATTACTGGAGCGCGTGTGGCGACGTCTCCAATACGTACCCCCTCCCCAACTTTTAAACCAAGTGGCCCGGGACTTGGTGTTCCAAAGTCGAACAACGACGGCAGTGCCTCGCCTAGTTCCGGTGACTCGAACGGCGACGCCAGTGACTCGTCCAGTTCCGGTGACGGATCGGAGTGTAGCAGCCTGGACCACGCCCACCCTCACTGCTCCAAGCGCGTACCCCTGGTGCCTGCATCCGGCGGCCCTGCAACCTTCGTACTACAGGGACCAAATCGGTGCTGTCGAGGCTCACAGCGTAGCACCGTCCCAGATGGGTTTCGGCAGTTTCGGCAGCCCAGTCCGACAGCAGGCCGTGCCCCAGGAAAACAGCTATGATCGCCAGCTACAGTGTCTTCGGTGCGCGGGTGTGGGACACATGTCACGCCAGTGCCCTACGAGCGCGCCCCGGTGCCGGGGCCGGCCTCGCTGTTTTCGCTGCAACGAGCCCGGGCATATGCAAGCGAGTTGTCTGGGAAACGGCAGACAGTAGACGCCGCACCGGCAGGCGTCTACATGTCAGTGCAGGTACCTGCAGCAGCCGGTGGAAAAGAGCCGCTTCTGGAGCTTCGCATAGGGGACAGAATCTTTTGCGCACTCCTGGACACCGGGTCAAGCGTCAGTCTTGCAGGAAATGCAGCTATTGCGACAGCGGTGGCTGGAGGAGCGACTGTTCGAGAAGAGCAGCACTGCCTTCGTCTTGCAGCCGGTTGGTCTCAGACAACAAGCTCCGTACGATGCCGAGTGCATTGGGCAGGGGGATCACGTAAGCAGCGATTCCTCTACATGCCAGGCCTTTGCAGGGACATAGTGCTAGGCAGAGACTTTCTTAACGCTACCGGCATCTCCATACACATTTCTTCGAGCGCTTGGACGATCGGGTCTGAACAGAAGCGTATTCCGTTTTCCATGGGTGAAATCCAAAGAGAAGAGTCCGATCAGGCCAATAACGAACAAGTGTATAGCTTAGAGCGATTGTTCGCCGAGTCAAGTGAAGGCCCTTGTGTGCAGAGAGAACAGCCTGCGGATGATCAGTTCCTACGAGAAAATAACCGGCGTCAGGCCTACCATAACAAGAAGATGCCTACAGATGATCGACATCTGCTGCACGCCGACAATCCTGACGTTGACTATGCAAAGCATCCGGATGTCTTAACCATGCTGGGAAAGTTTGGCACGCTATTTGATAAACGTCCTGGCTGCACGGGACTGATGGAGCACACCATCAACGCTGGAAATTCCGCGCCGATTCGCTGCAGGCTTCGCCCGGTCAATGCTCACAAAAGGCAGATTATGGATTCCTGTATCGAAGATCTGCTGAAGCAGGACTTGATACAACCCAGCTCGAGCCAGTGGTCCTGTGCCCCAGTCCTGGTTGCGAAGAAGTCGGGAGGATACCGACTAGCTATTGATTACCGGCCGCTCAATGCTAAAACCCAAGTTCCGGTATACCCAATGCCACGGACGGACTGGGTACTGGCAGAGTTAGGCAGAGCTCAGTGGTTCACAAGCTTCGACCTGTCCCAAGGTTTCCTCCAGATTCCTGTCCGCCACGAGGATATCCCCAAGACTGCATTCATATGCCACAAGGGTACATTTGAATTCAAAAGGATGCCCTTTGGCGTGGCTGGCGGACCAGCCAAATTCCAAGCTCTCATGGACAAAGTACTTGTGGGAATCAAGCACAAATTTTGTATGGCCTTCTTGGATGATGTCTTGATATACTCCAGTTCATTTGAAGATCACTTGCGGCATATTGAAGTGGTCTTGTCTAGGATCGCCCACGCTGGGCTTACCATCAATCCGACGAAGACGCAAGCCTGTAGGCGGTCGCTGAAGTTTCTAGGGCACATAATTTCACCGGGAGTGTGCAGACCTGACCCGGATAAAGTTGCAGCTGTCCGCGACTTTTCAACCCCCCAAAGTGTCAAGGACATTCAAGCGTTTCTTGGATTGGCCGGGTATTACCGGTCTTTCTTGCCAAAGTTCTCTGAAGTGGCCCGTCCTTTGACCATTCTTCTACAGAAGAATGTACCCTGGCGTTGGAGCAACCAGCAAGAAATGGCATTCCACCAGCTCAAAACCATGCTGGCAGACGAGGTGGTGGTTGCACTCCCTGATCTCAACCGACCGTTTGTGGTGGAGACCGATGCGAGCGGCACCGGCATCGCAGCAGTCCTCTTGCAAGACTCGGAGGGGACAACTGCGGCCAGTGTCATTTATTAGTCGATCTCTGAACGCAGCTGCAAGGAACTACACCGTGCAAGAATGGGAGTGTTTGGCCGTAGTCTGGGCCATTGACAAGTTCAGGCCGTATTTGGAACATACCAAGTTTGAGGTACACACCGACCACGCTTCTCTCAAGTGGTCACCACCGAACAGACCTCAAGCAGGGTACGTCGATGGGTGCTACGCTTGCAAGGTTTCGATTGCCTCATCAGACACCGTCAAGGAGCAGCAAACATCCCAGCTGATACCTTGAGCAGGTTCCCTGCTCCAGTCACGGTACCGCCGTCGGAAGCACTGGACACCGAAACCGATGAGTGGTTCCCCATAGAGACGGTGGAGCCAGAGCACCGACTTCGGTTCGAGGAAAATGCCACAGTGGAGGAGACGGACATATCACTGCTCCTCAATGCATCCCAGCTGGCCGATGAACAACAGAAAGATCCTGAAATCTCCGAGGTAATTCGCTACCTCCAAGACCGAACTCTGCCGACCGACGAAACAGAGGCACGTCGAATACAACATGTTTCTGAGGATAGTGAAATCGATTATGACGGACAGCTACTAAAGGTTTCAGGGGAAAGAAAGCTCATCTGGGTTCCAAAACAAATACGCCAGACGGTACTGCAGTTGTCACACGATAACCCTTTAAGCGGACACTTGGGGTACTTCAAGACTCTGAAGCGGGTCGCGGAGAGGTATTTTTGAATCGGTATGAGGTCTGACGTTTCCCGCTATGTGCGATCTTGCTCGTCCTGTCAGACTTTGAAGCCTCGTCGTCAAAAGCCGGGGGGACTAATGGACAGTACCTGGGCAGAGGAACCTATGGCACACCTGAGCGTAGATATAATTGGGCCATTACCCATAGCAAAACACCACCACAGGTATCTTCTCGTGGTCATCGACAAGTTCACAAAGTTTGTTGAACTATTTCCCCTTCGAGCTCCGACCAGTAAGGCCATCCTGGAAAAAATGATTGACGTGTTTTGTCGACATGGCTTCCCAAAAAGCATATCCAGTGACAATGGAAGAGTCTTCGTTTCTCGGCTGTGGAAGAACGTCATGAAGCACCTCGGCATCAAAGACCGCCACACGGTACCGTACCGCCCTGCAGGGCAAATGGTAGAGCGGCATAACGAAACAGTGAAACAGTGCCTCGTGGCATACTGCCATGACCATCGTGACTGGGACCAACGTATCCCTGAAGTTTTATTCGCAATGAGAACTTGCGAAAATGTGACCACAGGGTACACGTCAGCTTTTCTGTGCTATGGGCGCCAGCTCCGCAAACCATGGGAACAAAACTCTGGTCAACTTCCTACACCAGACAGTCGAGCTCCAGGCTTCGTGGCAGAGGTGACATCTAGGCTGCAAGACGCACACGAGTTTGCGCTAGAGAACCAGAGAAGAGCCCAAGAGCAGCAGCGCCGCTACTACGACAGAAATCGACGACAATGTAACTTTAGGATCGGTGATCTAGTTCTCCGTGATCTGCACATTCTAAGCGATGCCAGAAAGGGCGTGGCGGCAAAATTGGCACCGACACGCTCGGGGCCATTCGTGGTAGTGGGGAAAGTGGGGCTGAACGACTATCGATTGAAGGACCGCAATACTGGACGACCAGCAGGACTGGCACATGCTGACCAGCTGCTGAAGTTTTGTGAAGACCGGCTGAACATATAATCTAAGGGGGGAGGATTGTAAGGTATCGGGTTGGCCGACGAGACTCGTCGACCGTTGCCGCGCACAGCCGAGCCACCGGGTGGAGGAGAAAGAAGTGGTAGCTCGAGGGTAGTTGGATCTGGCGGTTGAAATGAGCGGCCATGATTTACGGGTGTCTTAGAGGAAGTGTTTAAGAGACGTTGAAACCTGACAACCCAAACCTATTAACCTCTCTTCCTAAAAAAAAGAAAGAAAAGAACGGGTGCGTGTGGTGTTTTCCATAAAAAGAGTTCCCTTAGAAACCCACCCTCCCCCCTAAATCCGCCCGCGGCCGAGATCGCAAGCTAATTCTTCGATATTTTAATGGTATTAGTTTTCTTGGCGTTTAGTTGCGTGTCAAACAGGTGTATTGGTGAGAAGAACCGCTGTCACGTGTGCGTGCACGATTTATCTTCAGTTGATCATTCTGCGTTCCCGACGGAGATAGCTTACTTGCTTTAAGCTAAATGAAATCTTACTACAAGGCGTACTTTGCCCAGTGCGCCTTGGGATAATGCGAGATGACGGATACAAGCAAATACAAACAAAACACAACACACCTCTAACCTTCAATAAACTTGTTCCTTTTTGGGGTTCCCTAGAATTGTTTTTGCCCCTTACACTGAGGCAAAATGTCTCGGCTTCAACTTGAGAAATATTACTAAAACATAAATAATTATGTATGATATCTATGATCCTAGTGCGTCGATCGTGGTATACATATATATGCACGATGGCGCTGGACAGTGTTAATTTTAACACATCAAATATATACGAAAAGGAATACCTTTGATTTGTCGCGGTTTGCAACGAGATAATCGAATCTCTCGGTGAAAAGATCGGTACTGTAATGCCCAGTTTCATTGAACACCGGCGTCGCGTTGTCTCTGAAGTCGAGTCCAATGTGGTCCTGTAAATAAAAAAAAACAAAACAAAAACATTCAGCCTTTTTACTTTGGTGAAGAAAGAGGACAATGAAAAGTAATGGCGGACCGCAAGTCGGCAAGCCAGAGTGGAAAGGTTGCCGCCATCTATGAGCACCGGCGAGAACCAGCTGCTTTACTTGCCGCCGTCGCTCATAGATGGCGGTAGGTGTCCAGAGTTCGGTGCCTTCATTTCTTTGTGGGGGATACGATCCTGAGGAAACTAGCCTTTAACAGCTCCGCTGTAATATGTTACGAAATCATGGTATATTGTCCTGGTCTGTTTTCTCGAACAAATCCAGAGAAGTTGAAGCTGCTCTAGTCACTGGCAGGTTAAGAAATGCAGCACAAACTAGCGCTAGAGATAAAAGAAAGAGCGTCGAAACAGCAGCCACGACCGTCGACGGGACGCAGCAGCGAGTGGGGAGTGACGGCGTTACAGCTGGCGAGTGTGAGAGTGATTTGGCAAAGCCACGGTCGGCTCTTTATCTACTGCACTCAGTATTTGAAATATTCGACCTAAAAACATTAAATAAACGCGTCTAACCCATTTAGACGGTCAGCAAAAATCGGTTGCGCAACCTATTACGCTGCGACTTATAACAGAGGTGCAGCTAGGTTGTGTAAACATATGGAGTGAAAATATTAACAGACGAGCTTACTTTTTTGAAAAAAGAGAAACGTGTTTCGGGTTATCTGCCGCGGCATTTGCAGACGACGTCATGCCCGGGCTCGCCTAGTTGTATGAGCTACCGAAAGATCGCGCAACATGAGACACGAAAGTACTGCAGCGCCTCGACCGATCATCTCCGTGCCAAAAATAGAAAGCCACGGGGGATCTAAATCCATGTTCTCTTTTTAATTTTATTTTTAAGTGAATAACATATCGCATAATTGTAATTTAACATTAGAGGGACGCGCGCCGGCACAGTGAAAATGTTCCGAAGATCGCGCAGATCGCGTCTGCTGAGCTCGGCGCTGGCCCACTCGACGCTTCCGACATCTGTCGGCAATCGAGGCTGTCGAGGCTGTCAAGGCTGAGACACGAAAGCTGCACTTTTGTGCAGCTTTCGCGTCTCATTTTGCGCCATCTTCCGGTAGCACATACAACTAGGCGTGTCCTGTCATGACGTTGACTGGAAATGCCGCGAAAAAAGACGACGAAGTGCTTTGAGCAAGGAACAGAAAATTTTGCTCTCTCGGTATCTTTTACGTTTCAAACCTATGTACTCGTATCCTGACCTGGCATTTTTGTTTCAGCAAGTGGAACTAGGCTTGTCTCTTACTACCAAACGCCTCTGCATGTAAGAGACCATGTCTTCATCTGAGAAAGTAGCGAACATCGGTGACCATTCATCTTTTGACGTCACTCCTGGGCAACGCCCAACGGTAAACCCCACGGAAGACAGCCTTGCTGCCACTCCAAACGCCTCACCCGAATTTTCTAACTTAGAACATTCCGAGATGGAGCAGGACAACGACTCTGGAGGACAATGGTGCGTCTCTGGAAATCGGAAACGTGTTCGAAGTGATGACTCACTCTCCGATTCTGGCACAACACGTGTGCCAAACAACGTCTCCAACAGTCTCACCGTCGTATATCCCCCGACTGACTCAGAGAAGAAATTAACTTCCCTTAGCAGTCTCAAGGTCACACAGGCTCTCGAGAAGATAAGTCCAGAATGCATTCTTCAAGTGCGCTACAATCAACGACTCAACCTTATTGCAGTTGACGTCCGAAACGGACATGCAGCACAAGTGCTGATGAACAATACACTACTATGCGGTATCCAAGTTCGACCATACTCTCCGTTGTCAGGCAAAACAAGCGTCGGAGTAATTCACGACGTTGATGCGGATGTCACCGATGAAGAACTGGCACAATACCTACGATCAGAAGCCAAGATTGCCAATGTGCGACGACTTGGAAAATCTCGAGTCGTCCAAGTAGCCTTCAGCGGCAGCCACCTTCCGAGCCATGTCTTACTAGGATATGTGCGACACTCTGTTGTCCCATTCAAAGAGAAGCCCATACAATGCCACAACTGCGGCGGTTTCAGACACAAAAAAATCGCCTGCAAACGTGCCCAAGCTTGCAATCGATGTGCCGAGAACCACGTTCCGACAGCTGAGGGATGCACGTCCAGTTCAGTGAAATGCATAAATTGCAGCGGCAATCATGAGGCTACATCGCACATATGCCCGAAGTGGAAGGAAGCACAGTCTGTAGCTACATATTCAAAAATGAATACCGTAGGGTTTCGTGAAGCAAGATCCGCCATCTTCCGTCAAAAAACGACCAGGGACACCACCGAGGGCACCAGAAGAACAGAGTCAAACTCAGAAGAAACTGGTAAGGACACTTATGCTTCAGCGCTCAAAAGAACTGGCCAAAACGTTAAAGAAAAGATGAACACCAATCCCACAATCAGTCAGATCTTGACGCAAGATTCGTCAGAAAAATCTATACATCAGCCATCACCCAACGCGGGACCTTCGACACGCCCCTGTGCCAAAAAAGGCCAAGTTGAAAAAGAAGACAAAGCTAGCAACCAAGGGACACAAGAAAGTGAAGCTCCTGGATGGATATTAATAATAAAGCAGGTGCTAGTATAGCACTTGCAGTTTTGGCGAAAATTGAAGCCTCCTGGGCGGGTACCCTTGCATCCATTATCCAGACAATGCTTCACCTTCTAGCAGGCTGTCAGTAGGATCACTCAACACAAGTGCGCATCGTTACCAACGAAGAGAAGCCTCTAAGTGTGGAACTTCAAGCGAATTCCAACACTGCGGCACAGCACGGCACAGGCGTAGTCCATTGTTTCCTTCACTGCTTCAATGGAATGTAAACGGACTGCGCACTCGACTTTCTGAACTGCGGCAATTCCTCACAGATAAGAAAATTGATGTCCTGGCCCTTCAGGAAACGAATGTCTTGCCCGGAGAGATACGCTTATCACCTTACGTGTTATATCATAGCGCGGCTATAAACCCAAATGGAAGATCAAGAGTCTCTATACTTGTGCGAGATGAAGGTCATCACTCTGAGCTTGACCTTTCGGACCTCTGTTTACCATCTGAAGAGTATGTTGGAGTGACGATCAGAATGGGAAAGAATGAAACGACAATTGTATCAGCGTACGTCACGCCACAAGGCCTCTGGTACACAAAGCCACTTGAAAAAATAAGTAACAGAAGCCGAGGAAACTTAATTATTTGTGGAGACTTCAATGCTCACAATGAAATATGAGCTGACACTCGCACGGATACGCGAGGACGTCAGATAGAGACAACGGCAGCAGCGTTCAATCTCCGAGCTCTCAACGACGGATCGGCTACATTTTGCCGACGGCACACAAAGGCGAGCACCCTGGACATAACGCTGGTATCGGTAGAAATCGACGCTCTCTGGACTGTGGAGCCGGACACGGGCGGAAGTGACCATTTTCCAATCAACGTGATGCACCCCAGAGCGGCTCCGAAGACCATCAAGGAGTGCAAGGTGGTTAACTGGGACCTTTTTCGTCAATACTTCACTTCCGCCGCAGATAGTAAAAGCGATACAGACATCACTACTTGCATTGCGGACTGTTTGCAACGCGCAACCCGCATTGTTAAGATTCCAGCGACACGTCCTACACCTGACCTTGAGTGGCTTAATCTCCGAGCCGCTCGACGACAAGCCCAACGAAGGGCACTGCATACGGACGGCTTATGGGATTGGGCACGATACAACCGCATAGATGCTTGCTTCCGTCGCCACACAAAAAAGCTGCAAAAGTGGCAGTGGAGTAGTGACTGTGCATCGCTGAGTGGCCCTGGGGGAGGAAGACGGGCATGGAGGCTCGTTCGAGCTCTTAAAGGGGCCAAAATTCCGCGACATCCCATTACAACACTTGCAATCAAGACAGGTCAAACCACGATTGAAGTGGCGGAGCATCTGGCGAACGAGTTTGCTCGGTCCTCTATTACACAGCCTGTACACCAGCAAACATTGAATGCCCCACAGTTCACCAGTGTCCCTCCAGACAGCGAGAGCACATTGGCCAGCTACACCGACTTCACTTTGGCAGAGCTTACGCACGCACTTAATTACACTAGAAGGAAGAGCGCTCCAGGTCCTGACGGTATAACATATCAGTCTCTCCGAAATATAGACCCAGATTATCACGCCGACATTCTTGAGAAACTCAACGCCATCTGGAAAGATGGGACATTCCCAAATACATGGAAAGAGTCAATAATCATCCCAATACCTAAACAAGGAAAACCATTGGACGAAATCTCATCCTACAGGCCTGTATCGTTAACAAGCTGTCTTGGAAAACTCCTAGAGCGCATGGTTCTCCGGCGCCTCGCGTGGCTTCTAGATCGAGCGAATGCTTTCCCACCTTCGTTGGCGGGCTTTCGAGCAAGGAGGTGCACAGCCGATGCGATAGGAGACCTCGTGTCGACCTTAGAAGAAGCCAAATCCACTGGCCGAATGGTGCACTGTGTCTTTCTAGACATTAGTCGTGCGTTCGACACACTGCCTCATTCTATCATCATCCAGCGACTCAAGTATTTTGGTATCTGTGGCCGAATCCTCACATTTATAGAGTCGTTCCTCACTAGACGGAGCTTCACTGTCAAGATCCCTGGTGCAACTAGCACTTCACGTCCAATCACCAAAGTTGTTCCCCAAGGCAGCGTACTCAGCCCCTTACTCTTCAACGTGGTGATGGCATCGCTTCCTCAATGCCTTCCGACCAACAACGAAACCCTCCATGTCGGCATGGCAATATACGCCGACGACGTTGCCATGTGGTGCGAGGGTCCCTCCGAAAGTGCCGTAGCTATCCGAAATCGACTTCAAGTAGCCCTAGATGCTACGGCTCTGATGATTTCAAAACTCGGCCTCTCACAATCAGCGGAAAAAACCGCGTCGCTCCTTTACCGCCAGTAGGACGAGCACCCGAGCACGCACTGCGGCTAATGATTGCTGAAACTCCTGTTAAGAGAGTTGGTAGTCATCTCTATCTTGAGAGTTGGTAGTCATCTCTATCTTGGGGTGCAGGTGGATGACCGCGTGACCTGGAGACCTGAGGTTCGGAGGACTTTGGAGCGATGTCGTGAGCTACTACGAGTCATACGACATCTCGGAGTCCCTTCGCGGGGAGCGCCACAACGTACTCTCCTACAACTCTACAAAGGTCTTATAATGTCGAGGCTCCTGTACTCCCTGCCACTCCTCAACATAGGAAGGGCCCAGATTCGGGACATTGACACATTTCACAGGAAGGCGCTGCGTTGCTGCCTCGGACTTCCACCATCTTCAGCAAACACCCCGACCCTTGTTGCGGCAGAAGAATGGCCTCCATCGTTAAGACTTGAAGAGAGAGCTATGCGTCACATTGCTCGCATTAACAGTGTTCATGCGGTGGACAATATTAATTCCCACCTGTTGGCCCGTAAAAATTTTCACCTCGGACAGCTGGCATCCAACTTTCAGCACGAGATTGGAGCACCAGGGGAATATTTATATCCACCTCCCCCACATTCAAAGAGAGCGCCCCTGTTGATACAAAAAACACTACCAATTTTTCAACGTAAGGCGAATGTCCCCACGTTAGTCGCCCGATCGATCACGTTCGAACGCCTGGAGGAAGCTTACGGTGATTGGATTCACGTATACACGGACGCCTCAGTCAATGCGATCAAGAAAACAGCAACTGTTGCTATTACTATTCCCGAAATAGACTTCGAAGTGTCTGGCCGGCTTAACTTCGAGGCATCATCAACTACTGCAGAACTTGTTGCTATCTGGGCAGCGCTTAAGTCCATTAAAAACATCACTCCGCCAACCAAAGCTGTGGTGCTCACGGACTATAGAGGCGCACTGCAACAACTTCAACGCCTCGAGAGGGCCACCCCCCTTTTAAATAGAGTAGCATTAACAGCTGCAACGGTGGAAGACCTTGGCTGGAGTTTGGCTCTGCAGTGGATTCCCTCCCATGTTGGAATTCCCGGCAACGAGAGAGCAGACGAGCTAGCTGCGCGGGCTCATAATGACGGTGACCCTACATTCATTTTAGATCGCTTTAATGAGGCACACAGACTTATACGGGATACCATCCGCAAAAAACACCCCCACAGAGGGGTAGCGACAGGAAGACCACCTCCAAACATCCCATGCAAACTCCCACGTTCAGAGGCATCACTCTTTCACAGACTTTTGAACTGGTTGCCCGCATACCGCAAAGCGTCTCAATATGTACCGCCGCAAGACAGATCCCGGATGCCCAACTTGTGGTGATCCTGAAGACACAACCCATGCACTACTTTTGTGCCCAACCCATGAGGATCTCCGAAAAGTGCTATTGCGATCCTACGCTGCTGTTGGACTTCCCCACTCCACTGCCCAAGAGCTTTTGAACCCCAGTGGAACGCGTGGAATAGTTGAAAAGACCTTTCGTGCTCTCCTCCAATATCTCCGGGACAGTGAGCTCTCGGATCGACTCTGATGTCCGCAGACACAAAATAAAACTTACACGACGGATCTAGGACAAGTATTCTACTTTTAAATTAACGTATGCGGTGAATAGGTAGCACAGCAAGTTAGCAACATTCTGGTCTAGTGCGGAGCCGAGATGGGAACCTCCGCGGTACATTGACGGACTTTGCCATCTCGGATCGGCACTGCGATAGGAGTGGATGCTATCTTCCTGCTCGCTGTGGAGTCATTTTCTCACAAGCCCAATTCTAAACAAGCCCGTTGACTTTTGGACTACAATGCATCAGATATGTTCGAACTTGTACATAACCATTTCTTCTTCCTCTTTCCTTTATTTACCCATCTCCCAAAAAGCCAGGTAGCGACTTGCCCCTGACTGGAGGCCCACATATCTCCTGGCTCCCCCCCTTCTCTTCACCCCAAAATAAACAAACAACAGCAACAAATGTCGCGGCAGACAGCCTGAGGCCGGTTTTTCTTCTCTCCTTTTTTTAAAATGGTAAGCTTATCCGTTCCTATTTTCACCCCATGCTTCTACCGCATGGTTACACCTCTGTAGTAAATCGCCGCGCGATACATAAAAAAAACAATTTTTGCCGTTTGTCTAAATTGCTTTGGAAGCGTTAGTTTACGTGCTATAAAACGGTCGGTAATGAGCTAGGGAGAGACTGCCTCTGCAAGGTCATGTTGGCCTCCTTATCTTTTGCGCTCCGGGTGAGAGCAAATTCGACTCTTCTAAAAGTATGGAGAAGCGTTCTTTCTGGGGAATGCAGGCGGCCTCAGCGGATGAAACTGGCATTAGCTGATTAGAAGCCAAAAAACCGAATCGTTGCGAGGCAATGACAGGCGGGCCGATGAGTTCATGCACACAATTCCCTCTATATTGTTTTTCTACTTGCATCGCTAACAACAACAACCGAATCACAGACCGATTCGTTTTTCAGTGTTCTTGCATTAGTGGCTATAAGACAGAAACGTCGGCAACTAAAATTGCATGGAAAAGCCTCCAAGAAGCCTCAGGTGTGCGTCAAATGTTTCACTAATACACATCGTTTTTGTTTTGTTTTGGGAGTCCTGTATAATGGGGGTCTATTCAGCTGCAAATCTGAGTCCTTCAGGAGGATTCATTTATGCAGTCACGTTGTTATAATTCGGGTATATATTTAGTTCGTTTATTTTTAATCGCATGTTCTGCTCTTCTTGTTTACTTACAGTTCCAGCGGTGTGGTCGTAGTAATCATTTTCACCCGTGTAATAGCCAAAGAAGCTCTCGAACCCTCTTTTGGGGGGCGTGTATGGTGTCTGAAAAAATCCCAGGTGCCACTGAAAAAGAAAAGACAATATTTATTGTTGACTACTCGTTTTCTATCGGATTATTGCCTAGGACTTCCTTCATACCTTTGTTTAAATCATTGAGCATCTATTAATATTGTTAAATACGGGATGTAGACCTTCGATGGTTGCTTAATCGATTTATTCCGATGGAGCCTCCGATTGAGCCTGGCGCAACATTCCTAGCCTGGCGTGGTCTGCTCGTGCCCCGCGGCTCTCAAGCGCTCGGTTCGGGCGCAGCCGATGGTCACGAGCCGATGGGCGCCAGCTTGCCAGCCGCTACAAAACACCCCCTCCAACTAGCCGTGGCTCCCGTAGCGTTGCGGTTGTCGTTGCGCTCGAGTGCCCCTCCGGGTACCAGTGTAAGGGCCAGCGTCTGCCGTCGCTGACGCTGGTTCGCGAGGAAACGCCGCCAGCCTGCTACTGTCTCGCTGGGGTGATGCGTCTACTCGAGCTGGAGAATTTTCGCCGGGAGATGGTGCCCGTGGTGGAGTTGGACTCTGGTCAATCTTGAGGTCCCACACAGGAGACGGAGTCTTCGCTTCTTGTGGAGTGCAGGCTGCTGTACATTGCTGACGTATGTGGTTGGTATGCCGGCGTACCGAACCTTCATCTGTGTTCACCATCCATGAACGGAGGCCCATCTGACGTTCGATTACGCCAGGAAACCAGCCTTTGCCGTGTGGGAACTTCTTAGTCCAGACCGACTGTCCCACGCTCAGTTCCCGTGCGTTAGTGACGCTTTCCGTGCGGACTGGCTCTTCAGAAAATACAGTTTTTAATCGTTCAAGAGCTGATGGACGTTCCCTGCCATAAAGCAACCATGCTGGCGTTTTTCCCGTTGCAACGTGAATGGTAGTGTGCTGTTTGAATAAAAACCTGGCCAGCGCACAATTCAGCTCTTCCTTTCCCTTCTTCCCGAGTGCAAGTTTCAGCTCCTGTACCATGCGCTCCGCCTGGCCATTAGTGGAGGGATGGTATGGCGCACTCGTTACAGCGATGATCCCGTTGTTTCGGTAAAATGTTTTCATCTCCTCGGAAACTAGCGCCGCGCCATTGTCCGACACAATCTTCCTTGGTAGACCAAACGTTGCAAAAATGGTCGGTAACTCTTTAATGATGGTGGCCGACTTCATGTTGCGGACCACGCGCGCTTCCGGTCACTTGGTGAACGCGTCCACCACAACCAGAAAAACATGACCCTCGACAGGACCTGCAAAGTCCAGGTGAACATTGTCCCACGGCTCGGTTGGCCTATTCCACACAGAAATAGGTTCCTTCGCTGGTGTCTTCCGGTGTATCTGGCAGGTGCTACATGCAGCGACCCATGCTTCAATTTCGGTGTGATCCCGGGCCACCAAACGTAGCTGCGAGCGCAAGCTTTCATCGCCACAATTCCACGATGTCCCGAGTGAATTAGAGCCATCGCCTCTCTTCTCAAGTTGTTAGGAATCACGACCCGTGTCCCCCAGCTTATGCATCCTCTGTGTGTCGACAACTCTGCCGCTTTACTTATGTACGGCGAGTACTCTGGGGACTGATACCGATGAATAGTGCCTTCTTCTACTTCCTGGTATACTGTTAACAGGACGGCGTCACGTGCTGTCTCCCTGGCTACTTGGTCTGCGGAGAGCGGTGGGCGGGTCAAAGCCTCAAACATCAGGATGTCTCCGGGTACTTCTGGCTCCTCCTCCGTGGTGGACATAAGAAGTCGGCTTAGAGCGTCCGCATTCTGATGGCGGTTTCCTGGCCTGTAGCTCAGCTCATACTTATAAGCGGCCAAGCTTACGCACCATCTGGTAATCCGCGGTGACAACACTTGTGGAACGGGCTTGTCAGCTCCTAGGATGCCAAGAAGAGGTTGATGATCTGTGTAGATTGTCATGCTTCGCCCTGTGACATACTGATGAAAATGGGTGACTCCATATACAATGACTAGGCCCTCTCGGTCCAGTTGTGAGTAGTCGCACTCAGCGGTTCCCAGGGTCCTGGACGCAAACGCAATCGGAGCCTCTCAGTCGTCGGAGTTCAACTGTGCTAGTACGGCGCCCACACCGAAAGGCGAAGCGTCGCTGGACAACAGTAGTGGTTTTCTTTCGTCATAGTGTGCCAGTACTGTATACTGCATCACGAGATCCTTCAACTTTTGGAAGGCCACGCGGTGGTTTTCATCCCACCGCCATTCTGTCTTCCGTTCCAATAGGTGATAGAGCCCTCTCGCAATCGTTGCTCGATTCTGTAGAAATTTGTCATAAAACGCTAACAGTCCCAGAAGGGACTGCAGCTCTGTCTTGTTCATTGGCTTGGGCGCCTGTACTACGGCCTGAATCTTGTCCTGCGTGGGATGTATGCCGTCCGCATTGATGAGGTGGCCAAGAAATTTTACTTCACTCACCCCAAAGGGGCACTTGGTTTCCTTTAGTCTTAGTCCTGCACCGTCTAGTCTCGTCAGTACTTGATCTAGTCGATAGTTATGTTCTTCCGCAGTCTCCCCGCTGATGATGATGTCGTCTAGGTACGCAATGACTCCTGAGATGCCTGCTAATGTTGTGTCCATGACTTTCTGGAAGATTGCAGGAGCTGCCGCCACTCCGAAGGGAAGTCTCTTCACTCGATACAGGCCCTTGATGGTGTTGATTGCCAGTACCTCGGCCGTGTCGTCTGTCACCCGTAGCTGTTGATAAGCCTGCGCAAGGTCCAGCGTCGAGAAGACTGTGCCACCCCGGAGGTTAGACAAGGCTTCTGTGGGTGTCGGCAGCGGATAAGCCACCGGTTTCGCTGTCTTGTTCACCGTGTGGCGGTAGTCCCCGCAGAGCCTCACCGAACCATCCGTCTTTCTAACCACCACCACGGGCGTGGCCCATGTTGAATGTTGGACCTGCTCCAGGATGCCCTGCTTTTGCAGTGTCATCAGTTCACATTCCATGACAGCACGCAGGGCGAAAGGTACCTGGCGTGCCTTGAGGAATCTTGGCGTTGCTGACTCCTTAATTTCCAACTGGACAGGTGGGCCGTTGTATCCTGTGATGTCGGACTTGAACACCGCTTTGTGTGCACTGAGAACCTTCTGGACATCTTTGTCTGGCGAAAGATGGTGTATCCCGCTGACGTGGATCTTTAGCGCCGGGAACCAATTTCTGCCCATCAAGTTGCACCCGGTTCCACTTGTTACAACCAGCGGTAGAACGTAGTCCTTGGACTTGTGTCTTACGCGCACTTCAGCTGAACCAAGGACACTCAAGCCTTCTCCGGTCCATGTCCGAAGGGTGACGTTCTCTTTCCGCAGGTACGGAGGTCTGGTCGGCCACACTTTCCGGTAGGTGGCCTCACTGATTACCGTAAATGCCGCTCCTGAGTCTACCTCGAATTCTAGTAACTCTCCCTCGACCTTGAGAGTCACCAGGTACTTGGGAACGAAACAGGTTGCACGTTGTGCGTTCAGCTCTTGCATGTCCAACCCGTAGCTTTTAACAGAAGCTCCACTTTGTGATTCTAGGGCGTCCTCTTCTGCGCCGCAGTCCATCTGATGGGTTGAGTGACGTGTGCCAGTCCTCATCTTGTTTCGACAAGCTTTTTCCATGTGTCCTATTTTTTACATAAACGGCACGCTACCCTGCTGAATGGGCAACTGTCTTGCCTGTGCCGTCCATGGCAGCGGTAAAATCGTAGATCCGTTTGCGTTTGATCTCGATCCGAGGTCTGTTTCATAGCCTGTGGTTGTGTGACCCTATGCAGTTCCGTCTTGGGAGTTTTAATCTCCTGCTGCTGTTTTGCCGCACTTTCCAGTCTTGTTGCCATGTCGTATGCTTGCTTGAACGTGAGCGTTTGCTCTGCGAAAAGCCGTTGCTGCAAACGCTCATCTTGCACACCGCACACCAAACGGTCTCTCAACATTACATCCAGCGGGAGCATGGTTGGATTCAATGTCAAAGGGGCGGCGGCCGCTCGTCCTTCAACGCTGGTTGAAGCGGTCGATGATCCGGCGCTAGTTGTGGCCACCGAGAGAGGTGTCAGCACTCCGAAATTGCAGTTGACGGCTAATCTCTTTAATTCCGCCACATAGGTAGCGATGGACTCACCTGGCTGTTGGTCGCGGCGTGGAAATTGGTTTCGGCTGAATAGTTCCAAAGGCCGTGGATCGTAATGTTGTTGGAGCATGGACATGATGCTTTTAAAGGCAACTTCGCCGGGCTTCCTCGGGGCCGTCAGCGCTTGCACAGTTTCGTAGGTTTTCGCGCCACAAAGGGTCAGCAGCAGGGTTCCCTTGTTCCCGTGATCCGTTATGTCGTTTGCCTGGAAGAAGAATTCCAATCGCTCCGCCCAGGCCGACCATCCTGTCCGTTGGAATTCTTCGAGCTTGCCTTGTGTCGCAGTCATCCTTTAACCACTGCTGGAGTTCTCGTCCGCCCTCGTCGCCAATGTTAAATACGGGATGTAGACCTTCGATGGTTGCTTAAAAAGGAGCTGTGCAACGATATTCAATTGGAATGTTTTTCTCTCTACACGAGCTTACTGGCACACCTGGGACTCAAGGATACTCACACGCAACGCCATTGGCCAAGAAACTCCTTTGTTACGGTGTAATTTCAAGGACAAAAGCGATCATTTTCATTCAATCTCTCCTTTGCAAAATTTGATGACGTAACTCGGGGATCGCAGTACACCCAAGTGACGATATTTGAATGCGGTTCATAGATTGGACCCGAGCATTGCGTGGGCACTCGACTTGGGCTCGTGACAATTGCTAGCTCGAGAAGCATTCGGGTTGTGACCCGTGTTCAATCGCTGCAACGACGACAACAGCCGAGCCATAACAATGTCTGGAACTGAGCGCGTGTCCTGCGCTTTGCCAACCCCAGCGCGTGGCTATGATCAACACTGGCGGCATATAATCGGCTCCAGATCACGTGGCCGCTTGTTCTGGCTGCGAGTTGAGGGGGTGAACGCTGCTCGTTTTTCTTAAATTTTTTTCTGGGACTTCTATTGCGTGGGGTGAAAAACGAACGCGTGTTTCATAGGTCATTAACGTTAGGGATCCGTTTTAAGGGGTATTTGTGCACAGTACAAAAATTGTTGCACAGCTCCTTTAATCGATTTATTCCGATGGAGTCTCCGATTGAGCCTGACGCAACGTTCCTAGCCTGGCGTTGTCTGCTCGTGCCCCGCGGCTCTCAAGCTCAAGCGCTCGGTTCGAGCGCAGCCGATGGTCACGAGCCGATAGGCGCCAGCTTGCCAGCCGCTACATAACAAATATTATTTTTTCTTCAGTGCTTACGCGAATTCCCATGTTGAACTCAGATTGGATGGTGATTGAAAAGAAAAAAGTGTTGGAACGTAAACGATTACATTTTTTATATTCCAAATGTATTTAAAGTGAATCGAGCTTTGGAAGAGCGTAGGTGCAAATAAAAGATCGGAGATTTTAAAGGTATTTCACTCAAAAGGTGTGGTCAATTAAAAACAATTAAAATTGATACTTGCAATGGCGAAAATCTTAATAATCACCTAAATGTTTCGTTTACCATGATAACTTTAACCCAAAGCAATGGCAAACAGAAGTTGTTTTTTTACAGTTGAAGAGAAAGTGACAGGGAGAGACAGGGTTTCAAACTCAGCTGATAATTTTATTCAACCATCATCCTTATATACAGAACTACAACCGTCACCTCCTTCCGCTCCAGTCTCGGGTTGAAATCATCATGGTAAACTTGCAGCAGCTCGCTTCCTCACTGGCCGTCATTTAAATAAATATTTTGTGTTTTTTTATTCTTGTTAAATGCCTGTTTGATACGCTTTTTTCACTTTTTTCCTCTTTTTTTCTTTCTCTCTTCCGTCCTTTCTGTTGATTCTCCATCTTTGGCTCGCGCCAAGCTTACATAGACGCAGATTGTCTCCTCTCAAAGAAAAAAACACTTTCTATATGGCGTTTGCTATCAAGAAAATAATCGACATAAACCTGCGACATAAAAAAGTTACACGAAAATGCAACACAAAATTGAAGTCATCCACTAATTTTAGCGGGCTTATGTCACGGTGTATTTGACAGACGGTGGTCACGGGGCGACACTATAACGTATTGTACATTCAAGAATGTTTTCAAAGAAGGCTACTACTGACTGAAAAATGTTTTACAGTGTATGCACCCTCATACGTATAAGTCCCCGAAAAAACTTCTCCAGTACCCGTCATTAATCTCCAGCCCTTCAATCAGCCTAGCGATTAAGAAGGGCGCGCGTTATCACAGTTCAATGATGTCCTAGCTAAAACGGCAAGAAAGGTGTTCAGTGCGTTTGCGGCGGATATTTAATTATCATGTTACTATGCTAGTGATTGGTGCTCGCACATTTTGCTGGCTTAAAAGAGGATTACATTTTTTCTTCTCCGAGTGTAGTGTGGGACAGCATGCATCCAGGCATTTTTGACAGGGTATGGGATGCATTCGCCACATCAACAATGCGTTTTTCTTCAAATAATTCGATGGAATAAGAAGGGCGATCGATACCATGCAGGAAGCCATAGAAAATAATCCGATAGAAACAATGGTGTGACGTAATTTGTCTCCATACAAAACTTTTCACTAGGCACCACCCACCCTACCGTCTTTACACGCATTTGGCAGAATAACCAAACATGCAGTCATTATTTTTTCTCAGCGTTGTACCTTCCGAGTTTATTATTTATCTTACAACAATATTGAACTAAGTATATCAAAATGACATGAAGTTAACTCAGCATTACCATTTATTTTCACTGCGAAGTGGGGCCCCGTTTGCTCCCTCACCGCGAGAAACTATCTTTCAAACTGGTTTTATCCTTCCTATTAATTGAGAAATAATGTTTCTATGAAAAGTATCTCGTGACAGAATTGGTACCAATACGTTATTTTTAATGATCTCATTTTGTAGAGAAGATCAGACACAATTTACAACGGGACAATCCGTGTGATTTAAATTGCAATTCACGTCGCGATTTAAATAAGATTGACCCTCTTTTCTACCTTCAGCCTGGACGGAAGCTTGCCTTGCCTTACCTTGCCAATCATGTTCACTTGATAGCCTAAATCTTTGAAATGCTGTGGCATAATTTTTATTTCCAGCGGCAGACCCCATGGCCCAGCGTCTTGAATAACGTAAGCCTGCATGCCTGAAAGAATCCAGAAAAGTAACTTCTCTTCAACGTTATGTAAACCCTGAGATGGGGAACAATAAAACAAACGGACGAAGAAAACAAAATAAACGAAGCTGAAATTTATTGCTTACAATTCTGTTAAACAAAATAATGCATTTTATTAAAGCATGAAGTGCTTTTTAACGCTACCCCCAATCTCGAAATTTTGTCCGGCTGTCCGTCCGTGCCTTTTCAGCTAATTTAGCGGTGAAAGTGTCGTCACGTGCCCTATACACATTGGGGAAATTTATGGCACGTGACCTGTACGTCAACTTATATTCCCCGCTAAATTTAGCGGGCAGATTCACGTCTTGTGGTCAAAACATCAATTCAGTTTCCCCGCTAAATTTAGCGGTAAATTGACGCCACGTGACCTATACACCGATTCAGTTAGCTGCTATATTTAGCGGGAAAATGAACGTCTTGTGACCTGTACACGCCAATCCAGTTTCCCCGCGGAAGTTTGGGGAAATCGACGTCACGTCACCCGACGTCACGTGACATATACCACCATGAAGTTTCTACACTAAATTTAGCGGAAAAATGTACGTCACATGACACCCTCAGCAGTTCCCTATGATGCAGTTCATGCATTACAGGACTTTAAAAATAAAGGTCGCGGCCAATTTTTTTTTTTATTTTTCAAATACATTCGCTCTACTAGATAAAAATAATGTACATTTCTAATGTCCCGTCAGGCTATTCACCCAACTTGCTCAGGTAAACTTTACAACGGAAAGGGCGGGTGCAACTGGCGGGCAGTTCTGCACGGCTTAAAACACCATAAAAGAACAACAGTGAACCTGTCTCACGATGGGCTCGGTACACGAACCGCTGGTCTAAGTTCAATGCGACGAACCGGTTCTATGGTCGAGATGTGTCATCTTCGGAATCCTTAAGCGGCGGTCACGCTGTTCACACATCACACAGAACACTCGGTGTTGGCTGCAGACATTATGACAGAGTCATGTCCGGACTCGCCTCGAACATCTTCGGAGTAACCGGGTTTGCTTCGTACACGCTTCGGACATCTTCGAATTGACCGGGTTCGCTTCGTACACGCTTCGAACATCTTCGAATTAACCGGGTTCGCTTCGTACACGCTTCGAACATCTTCGAATTAACCGGGTTCGCTTCGTATATACTCACAACATTTCTGGAGACAGTTATTTTATTACTGATGTGACAGGACTCTCACACATGAAAGAAACGTGTCTCAGACAGTGACTTCAGACTGTCTTTTGAATGACATATTGGATGTACGACAGCGGCTTAGCAATGCTTTGAAGGCAAAACTGTGTCCTTTCATCTTTTTGTTTTTTTGCCTTAAAAAAACTGCGTTACTATTGGCACGTTTATGTCTCTGTTGGCCAACTGTATTGTTTAAGTCAAATAAAAGGAGTTCACATGTAGTCCTTGTTTCGAGCTCATCTCGGTGCAGCATGTACCGGGGACTTTGCTAGCGTACGTGACAGCGTCATTTCAGGACTGGCTTCACTGCCGGCAGAGGGCACAGCACGAACTAAACTGGGGTAATACATTTGGCCTACGCCTTGGCTTAGAGAAGCCAAGGCGTAGGCCAGTTGTAATACCTTATGTTCATAAGGTGAGACACAGTATAAAGAAAGTGGGGCAAAAACATGGAGTTCCCGTATTACTCTCAGCTCCTCAAAACATGGGCAGATTGTGTGGAAAAGTGGGACGAGGGGAGACACGCGTCGGTGTCTGTCAGAAGAAACATAAGACCAGGTATGTGGAGTGTAGCGAGGGATTGGTTTACAAGATTAATTTATCATGTGGCAAAGTATACAGAGGCCAATCGGGACGCTGTATAAATGATAGGCTCAGGGAGCAAGCACTGTCAGTTCGATCGTCACCCTCGGAAAATCTGGCTGTGCACTGTGACAGATGTGGGTGTGTCCCGAAGTTTGACAACACCATTATCTTGGCCCGAAACCGAATCAAAATGACAAGGAGCTATCCGAAGCTTTTTTTCATAACCGAGTGCGTTGAAGGAACGTGTGTCAGCGCTCCATCGATAGCCCTATTTGGCTCTGAGGTGGCGCTTTTTAAAATCTTTTGTAAAGTAGATAGCGGACAGACGAACATTGATAGGGTGATGTCACATTTCTGTAGTACATGTCGCGATTTCACGGTGTATATATATGTGTGTTTTCCGAGAATAAACTCCAGTTGCAAGTAGCGCTCTGTGTTGTTCGTTTCTTTTACTTGTCCGTTGTTTTTAGCGCTTTTAGCCCCAAAAGACATCAAACCAGCCCTGTACACGTTACTAAAAAAAAGTAATTGATTAAAATTATAATTACTCTTGGTTACTAATATTCAGTTGAATTACTTGATTACTTCAAAAGAAATGTAATTGACTGTTGCTTGAAGAAGTGGTCCTTCTTTTCTGATACTTAATTTATTCAAAACGACAAATTGCTCTGCCGGTTTCAAAAACGGGTCGCTCTTATAGTGCATTTTTAGATTGGAATCACTTAACTATAAACTACGTATCGGCTTAATTCATTAAATTTGGTAAAAAATGCTCCTGTGGGAGACTTGGCTCCAGGATTCCCGGGTACCAGACTTGAGGAAACTGAGGGCACCATTAGGAAGGGGAAGTGAACAATAGTCACGGTTACAAACAAGTTTAGGACTTCTAAAAGTAATCAAATTACTGTTGCGATTATTTCTTTAAGAAATGTAATCAAGTTATTGCGAAATGACTCCATAAAGTAATCGATTACATGTAATTTGATTACCTGTATTGAGTACCGTTCAAGTGTGCATCAAACCAACAGCTGCGCTTCGTTACTGACACTCTTTACCATGGCCGCGCTGTGGTGCGAGCAACTCCAACACGAGCGAGCAAAGGTCCGTGCAAGGTTCCCATGTGCAGCTATTGGTCAAAACTGACGTTATCGCAATGCAAATAAACGAAAGCTTGTTTCCTCCGTCCTCCAGGAAAAGAAACGTCCCGTGTCCCGGGAGCCACGCGCCTGAGGCTACGCAAATCGAAGATATTAATTGTACCCGTGTGAATTGGATAAAACCCCGTCATCAGGGCTGATCTCGATGGGGTGCAGAGCGGCAGCGAGTAATAGTTGTTGAGAATGACACCGTCTCCCGCCAGAACGTCGATATTTGGTGTCGGTATTTGGGTGGATCCATGGAAACTGACGTCTCCCCATCCCTGAAATACACAAAAAGAACAAGACAAGAATTAATTTACAAACTTCGTATATTGCCAGAAATGCCGGAAGAATAAGGTAAAAAAAAAAAAAAAAACTTGTTAAGGTGAAATTGTGCCTAAGACATATGAGAAAAAAGGCCCGTTCACGCACTTTTGTTTGCTTACGATCAGGTTCTTCTGATGTTTTGTGAAGAGAGAACACACTGGAACGCTAGCGCCATCTATGATGTCACCCTGCAATTTTATTTCATGAAAGAAAAGGTTTTGCGGTATTTGCAAGATCAAGTGAGCGTACTATCTATAAAAAATATTTGTTTAAAACATCGTCAAAAGGGTTTTGATAAAAAAAAATTAACGATTCGCAAAAAATACCACGAGAAAACTAGAAAATGTACGGTGAGCTCTATGTTCGTTGGTTAGCCGATAAATGGCACCGGTGTGTTCTCTCGTCGTAACATGTTTTAAGTGGTTTTGAGGACACGGTCGTAACCAGTCTCGAGTGTGTGAGCCAGCCTTCATTCGTCGCGGTCGTCGATGTCCGCGTCGCGGCAGGATAGAACCCAAGCCCAGAATTCACCGCATGCTGCCGATTACAGCTTCCTTCAGGCTGACTTTGTGGTCGGGAATGTTCTGGACAAGAGTGCGGAACAAAACGTTCCAGGGAGGCTAAAAAGAAAATACTGGTACCTCCCCATGTCGTGCAAATAAACTGTGGCGACATCCGCCCACAGCTTCACTGCCGTGATTAAATTCAGTTGACATGTCCTGCAAGCTTAGCGGACGAAGACATAGGACACTGTGACGTCACGATGCTCCTGGACATAACGTGGCCCTAAATTACGTTAATAAGTAGGCGGGAATTTTCTTCTCTACATTTAGCAGGAATATCGTGACGTTATTCGATAGGACGTCAAGTGACACTATGATGTCACAATGTGGCTAGACTGATTCCTCAATAAGTATGGAGGAGACATTTTCCCACTAAATTTAGCGTAGACATTTTCCCGCCTCGCTAAGCGCGTTACGAGGTACGTAACGGAAACACAAGGATCCGCTGCGAATCTTCGACAATAACGGCTGTCGCCGTAAAAAGGGTAAAAAATAAAGAAGCCTTTGGAAGGGAGCGGACCCTGTTTGCCACGTGCGAGCCCAGTGCTCTGCCCACGCGGCTAGCTCGGGCATGAACGCGGCCATGACACTATAACTATACTCCGTTTACCCTTCCGGGCGAGCTTTCTGTCTGTGCTAACACAAGTGTGAACGCGCAGGCACGCGCCAGCAAAGCGCTGCGGAAGCCAGCGAGCTCGTGCTGAAGGCGGAGCTTCTTGTCTCAGCTTATGAATGAACGGAGAATAGACGAATTATGCGTGAACTCATAAAACCCCAGGTGGTATATCCCAGGTAGCACGCCATAGAAACGCCTGGCTTGGCACAAGCTTGACAATCCTAGGGGCCTAAGTTGGGTCTAATACGTTTTTACTCCAAGACTGTTAAAACGGAGGTTCGGGCGAGTTGGTTGTTCATGACTAACAAGGAAACAGAGCACCCTCAAAACAAGCACTTTAAAGCTTTCATGCACACAAAAGAAAGAGCCACTTACACAGCGCTGACTGACAACTCTAGGTTATATTTGCAATTTTTGTTTTCATCTTTTTTTGTGGACACTAGAATGTCCGAGTTCAAGGGGTGAAGTTTAAAAGGGCCCGAAGAACTATTCACCATTTCACCTTATGATGTACCGCAGGAAATGCTATAAGCGCGAGCTCCTTGCTCTAGGGCACTCTCGGTGGCACAAGCTCTCGTGCAATAAGGGCAGCTGCCAACGCTACGAGCACGTGTTCCTAGCCTTCGCTGCGGTACAGCATAAGGTGAACCGGAGCATAGAGATGAAACCTGTTAAAGCGGAGGTTCGGGCGAGTTGGTTGTTCATGACTGTCATGAACAACCAACTCGCACGAACCTCCGTTCGTGCGAGTTGGTTTTGGTTAACACGTCCCTTGGCAAGACAGCGAGACCCAGAAGCTTGGTTTTGGTTAACACGTCCCTTGGCACGGACTGCCGACAAAATGCGTCACAGCTTACCATAAGGGGGCGGGGGGGGGGGGGGGGTAGTGGAGGTTACTTCGTCACCTGAATATGTTGCCGCGCGCCAAGTAAACAGCGCGGCCGTAGCCTAACGGTTATCGCGCTTGCCTCCCACACGAAGGGCCAGGGTTTGATTCCTGGCCGAGGCTACGCATTTTTTTTTGACACTGTAATGTGATGTTCTGGTGAATTCGAGAACCGTCTAGCTGATTTAAGGTTAGAATGTTCTACGCGTCGAACCTTCTACGTTGTATGCTCCAGAAGCCAACGCGTGTACAAAAGCGGCTCCGCGTGGCAAACAGGAGTCAGTTTCGCCCCAGCGTTCGACCCTGCTGCTACGCCGACTTCGACGCCCGCGACGCTCTGTTATTATCTTTTGTACCCTTTTATTTCTGGCACAAGTTCGCCACATTAAACGTTTATTTCTTCCTGTTTATTTTCTGTTTTTTTGTTCACCACCCGTGACAATATCTAATCTGCTCCGTAAGAGAAGCGCTCGGAGTAACTATCCCTCACCTTATACGTTATGAACACAATAAATAAACTCTTAAAAATGTGCAGCTAGCGCTAACAAATGACGTCGTGGTCCTTGAAAGGTCGCGTGAAAATATTTGTGGATTTTGCTTAAACTTCATAAACAATATTCCTGATGTAAAAAAACATTTAATGAACTACTTAATTGTGACTAAGTGCTCATTGTTTAGTGTTATAAACGTAAATTATTGTTTAGTATTATAAAGGTAACTTATTGTTTAGTATGATGAAGGCGAAAGTTGGGCACGATGAAAGCAAATTGGCTCCGCACGGTTTCCTGAACAAAACAACCTACTGTGCTCACATATTGTGCACGATCACTTTTCCTCCAGGCGGTTCATAATAATAAATCTGTCGGCAAATATTCAGGACAGTGTTTGGGGCCAGTTGAGTACGGTGACGAGAGTGCCTAAACTGTAACTATCTCAATACTAAGGCACGTGCTTTGAACAGCGTAAAGCCAGGCGCGTGAGGTCATTTTGATTCCTGGCGCCAACGGCCGGTTAAAGGACACCTAACAACTTGTTCTGAATACAAGTTGGGATGCCAAACACTAAACAATTCTTTGAGCCATGTTTAGTAACACCGAGAGTGTGTGCTCAAATATCATATACGTATATTAAGAAAAGAAAACGCTTTCATTGAACCTTCAGTATTATACGTACAGTTTGCACCTTCAGTTCTAATTCCACGCGATAACTGTGGCGGAAAACACGAAAACAATGGAGAAGAGATTCCCCCTCAGCGCGTACTTTTAAAGGGATACTTCAACGAAATTTGAAATATTACCGTCGTGTTCAAAAATAAGTTGAATATGATCCACAATATCCGTAAATGACAATCGCACGTTTGTGTTTTAAGCCTGGTGGCTGTATTTTTCGTTATAAACGGCCCACTCTGGCAAGCGCTCGGAGAAGGCCCAGCTTAGAGCACGTGACATCCAACGCAATCGTGACGTAGGTCGTCTCAGGACGAGCAAAGCTACGGCGAGGCTGACGTCGAGAGCATGACCTAGTCGTTCCAGCCACCGGAGCGACTGCTTTTATACGAATTTTGAGTGACGGGTTAATCTTCTGTAATCTTGTAGGGGGACAATAGCGACTTCTGCGACACACAAAAGGCATTGTCGGGAAGAGGGGGGTTCCCCCTTCCCCTCTTCTCTCGTCGTGGCCGGAGGCGAGACAACCTCCGTCACTAGCTGTCAAGGTTCCTAGACGGGCATTACAAGCGAGGCGTTAGCGACATCCACCAGGCGCTCTTTGCTAATCGTTTAATTCGTTTTAAAATTTCTTTTCGTGACTTTTTTAATAAGATATGGGTTTGTTCGATGTAATGCTGCTTTTTTGAACACATATAGACAAAAAAATTAGCGCCGAAATTTCGTTGTGGTATCCCTTTAAAGAGAAGACTGAGTTCACTTCCTTGCAGGCCACAAAACAGTCAATCAGGGAGGAAAATAAAAGGAGGCCAGCGAATAACCATGCACAGAATACGATTACCACTGAAAACAATGCGACCTGCCCTGGGGTGACCTGGAAGAGCTACGTCATTCTCATCACCTCTCTGAGCGCATGTAATTTTTAGAGAGCCTAATCATATTCCGAGCTAGTCGTTCGCAGGGATCATTCTATTTTTTTGCTGTAAATTGTTGTTTTCGTGTTCTGCAGAAAAGGGAGATCACGTACTTTTTTTTTTCAGACTTTGTGGCAGAAGCAAGCTTTCAGATATTCTTTTTCTATCTTCTATCTTAGAACTTTTTCTACGAAAATAGAGTTTACGTTTCCTTACTCTGACGTACTATGGTAATCAACAGCTTAAATGGAATAAGGGCATTACGAACCTCGAGCATCGTATTACTCATCCGCAGCAAATGAAACTGCTGCATTAACCGATTAATACGCCGAAGGGCGTATCACGAAGCAATGAGCGGGAACGTAATAAGCCGCAACTTACTTTCCTTATGCTTAAACCGACTATAAAATATAATGTAATCGAATAGAATGGAGTTTTCCTCTTCCACAACGCGCCATGCAGTTAGTATAAATTGGTGAAGAAAGGTAAAAAACGCAGGCGAGCTCTTGAATGACACCCCAAAACGTAGGAACAATTAAAAAAAAAAAAAAAGAGAACGGACAGAACAACAAAGATTTTGTTGTTCTGTACGTTTTTGTATCATTCCCACGTCTCGGGGGTACTATGGATGTCATTCAACTCGTCATTTTGCGTGCTCGATTATACGCGCCGATCGACTTTGCTTTGAAAATTCCTGGGGTCAGTTTCTCCGCAAACAAGAAACGGAAATAACCCCATCTCGATATTAACAAGTTAAAGAAGAGAACATATTCAAAAGCGATTTCCGCGTATCCTTTATGACGGATATC